AAGCAAGGGTTTGTTCTGTAAAATTCCCCAATAATTAGCAAAAAAATGCATAGGGTATTTTTGTATAAGCCCTATGTACCTATGAAAAAACAAAAAAAAAACACCAAAATATACACATTAAATTTAAAATCTTCTAAATCATCATGCGAAATCACGTCGTGTTCGGGAGTGCAAAAATACGCAAACTGTTACGACAGTTTAGATATTCGCAATCACTCCAACATTTTAATCCTTACAAATTTCTTTTTCCAAATTTCCTACTACATATAAATATCATCTATTGATAAAAAAATATGCAGTTCTACTTTGTCCTAACTGTATAAATAGACTTTGGGGAATTGCTGGTATTGTGCAGTAAACATGAATAAGCAATAGGTATTAGGACATCGATATCAACAGATTTTACCAGAATTGTGCTAACTGATTTTAGTTCTGTTAGCACATAAGGTAATAACAGGGCCGCAACTAGGGGGTGGCGAACTAGGCACCCGCCTAGGGCGCCGCAGCATCGGGGCGCCGAAGGCGCCTAATTTAATCCATCCATATTTTACAATCCAAAAATGCAACGGTTTTACGCGTCATTTGTCGTAGGACGGAAATTTATTTTGCTTTTGTTATATCTCTCTTTGCTAACCATCAACAATACGAATATCGATAGTAATCATATAAATTAAGTTAAACACAGTGCGCGTGCAAAAGGCAGCAGCAAATTGCGATGTCTGTGATAAATTCAAGTGTCGATGACGTAACGCCCAACATTCGTTAGCCAGAGATTAGCTTCGAGTCGAGCTTTGATCCGACCAAACTGAGCAAGAGCATTGTGGGCGACGTGGGCGCCCTCTGCATGCTGCATGCATTATCTCTTTCGACTCTTTTCTATTTAGCCGTTTACGGAAACTATATTCGGGTTAACCCGATCAGTAGCTGAATGTTTTCTATCTTTCCTTAATGAATAAGATTGAAAAAAGACAAAATACGTCTGCTGGCGATCGGGTTAACCCGATCTTAGTTTCCGTAAACAGCTTTCACTTCTACAATAGCTTCGTTCGCAGTAAGGATTCTGAACTGGTTCGAAACTATTTCGCATGCGCAGTTCAAGTAATGGCGTTCGTGGATCACAAAATTCCGAACTTTTAGTTACGGTTCTGGATTCGCGGATCAACCAGAATCGGTTCGAAACCGTTTCTGAACCAGTTCTAGCGGTCCTGGGATTTTAGCAAGAACTTCAGGATTGACACTAACATTCGTTTACGTATTAGGCCGAAAAATCGGACATCTTTCGTCGAAAATCGTATGCATGAGACTCCGGCTTTAAGGTACAGTTTGTTAGGGCATTCGCGACGCACAACTCACATTCTGTTGAACGCCGCGCACGTCTGCTATAATCAAGCGAATGTAATGATATAGACAGGTTTGTTGGTTTTGCGCAGGTGACCGCGACGTACACGTCAGAGAACTGGTGTACGTCGTGCTGAACAAATGTCATTGGCTGAACAGATTCTGCCGACGTTTACGTTGTGAGTTTTGCGATCTCTGGTTTTGCGTCGCGCACTGTCCTAACAAATCGTACCTAAAAAAGACAGTCTGGAGAACTCGTTCCAAAACTGTTCGCGATAAAATAATGGCGTTTTCCATTTGTTGCACGGAGGTGTACTCAGTGCAGTTTTTACATTCCATTTGACTGCACATTATCAGTTTTTATTTTCCATTTGAAATCCAGTGCAATTATGATGTATGCACTCAGTGCGCATTTTTTGGCATGAGCTAGAAAGACTCGTGGAGAGCCAGTGCTGCACTGGCAGTGCAGTTTGTTTTGTTTTTGTTCACATGTACCGTACATACAAATTTGAAAAATTTCTGCCAATATTTCCGCGGTGGAGGGGCGCCAAAATTTGGAATTGCCTTGGGCGCCGAGGGTTCTAGTTGCGGCGCTGGGTAATAATAATCTGGTATTAGCTTCTTCTTGAGTACTATCTAATTTTCAAAATTCAGAATCCTGGAATCCACCTGTTATTATGACTGTTGATCCATTTATTAGGCTTTTTTTTTCATGGTCGGCACACGGCACACACACTAAAGGAAAGTCCTATATCAACGAGTGGAGTGTGTGTGGAGGTGTCGATGGACATTGGTCGCTGTAGGTTCTAGTTTTCGGGGAAGATGCGACTTTGAAGTGCATTCTAGAGCGAGGCGGCCCTACAGAAAAATGAATCTCGAAACAGCGATGTTCTAGGTATTTATAACTGAATTGTATGTTGATGAGCTGCTTGTGCCTGACGAGTGTTTCTATTTGGTGCAACTTTGGGCGAAATCAGAAGTGCTAGATCGTTCGAACACCTTCCGTAGTAGTATCGATAGTAAATGATAGGTCCGCCACTTTTACCGATTTTCAAGGCTTTGGAGGTTTTGGTCAACTCCGGGTCATCGATAAGACGGACTGCTCTCTTTTGTATCGAGTCCAACATCTTGAGCAAGTGTTTGGATACCGATTTCCATATATATTTGCAGTATTCCAAGGATGCTCTTATCTGGGCCTTATAAGAGTAGCAAAAGCTGAAATGGGATATACAATTTCTTATTCTATAAAAAACCCCTAGCTTTTGTGCTGCTGTCTTGGCGATTTTGGTGATGTGGTTACGCCAAGACATGTTATTTTCCACGTTGATGTCCAATACGTTTATGGATGAGGCCAAGACCCAGTGTTGGTCCTGTCATTGTTATAGGTCGGATCCTGCAAGTTTCGCCTTTTTTGAGAAAATAGTTGCTTACGTCTTTCCTGCAACAATGATTGTTTATGCGCAATATTGCTTTCCTTCTACTAATGTTGTAGTTCTTGAATTGATACCATACTGATACCATCAATAATAAAGGCATCTACTTCCCGACAAGTCGTTAAAGTAGTGGTAAATTACTCATTTTTTTTTGCTTATTTCATTGAACCGCCATCATAAAATTAATAATTATTGTGAAAATTGATATGCATGGTGCATTTGCTCGAATAATCATGAAAATGCATCCACGCTCAAAAAACAGGCAGATCCAGGGAATTGCTTCGCGCCGCGAAGTATTGCGAAGCTACCCGGACTAGTGCACGGCCGGTAAAACTCTCAACTTCAAGTGATGATATCTTGAAAACTATGCATCGCGGAGTATCGCGAATTTTTTCAAAAACTTCCTTGATGTCTTAGCTTTGTTTCATTCGCTGATAGTATGGCAGGAATCCTTAAATCAAAAAAGTTTCTCGCTTACTGGATAAAAAGTCTAAGCTAAAGTTTTACCTAGTTTCACGAATAAAGCGAGTTTTTCAGAAAAACAAAATTTTTTTAGTGCTTTTGTTTAACGTATTCTCTTCAGAATAAAAAAAAAATAATGAAATTATCTCAATTAGTTTCGGAGATATCGCGAGGTATGTGTGAAAAAGTATGAAAACCGAATTTTGACAAATCTATGACATTTTTCGATATAAAAATTATTGGAACTAGTAAAAAAAATTGTAATTGGCCATTTCAGATAGCCATGGACCTATTCCATCATTTTGCAAAGGTTTCATGTAGTTATACCTTGAAAAAAAATATTGGAACATTTTTGCCGCTTTTTTAGTCTACGAAGTAGATAGTAGAATCAATTTTTTAAAATTTAAATATCAAAATTTTTCCGTAAATTTTGCATAAAATAAATTCCTTGAAATAAAAAACCTGAAGCCGCTTCTTCCGATTTGTGTGAACTTTATTTTTCGATTAAAATAAAATGAATATAATTAATGCACGGAAGTTGAAGAAATACCTATTTTTCTAATATTGTTTATTATTTTGAGAGACTTGTTTATCTTTCTGAATCCAAGTGAATACGTACATGCATTGTGCGCGGTATCGGCCGTAATAATATGGCAACGTTGCTCTCAATAGAGAGTTATTGGAACTAATAAATACTGCCTCGCAGTATTAAGGATCTACGTTATTTTATTAGTGCATCAGCACTATTTTTCCAAGAAAAAAACAGTTATTGGAAGACTATAGTAGGTGCTAGAGTATTACCTTATTTTGTATTCATAATTTTGACAACTGATAGCTATGTTTATAAATTTCAACATCAAAAAGTGTTTATTTTTGTTTGTGATTTTCTGCTGATACCCATTTTTCGATGCTACCCACAGTAAAATGGAAAACTACTGTAAAAAATAAATTTTCTAAGTAAAATTACGTCATCGTCGAAAAGCGAAACTTCAAAGTCGTCCAAAATGTCAGAAATTTAAAATAAGGGAAGTTTACTGCCTCGCACTAACCATACACAAATAAAGACAAGCAGTAGGTAACTTTATAAAGGAAATCCTTATTTTCGGACACAATTGCCCATGCGTAGATGTCAAAATAAGGCTAATTTAAATACTGCTTGTCCTTATTACACGTCCAATAACTCTCTAATATCTCCACGGAAAGCGAAATAAATTCGAAATAAATTCGGAGAGCAGCGCCGCCTATAGGTAAAAAACACTACGTAAACTTTACGCTTGTATTCACCGTATATTATTCTATGATAATATACAGTGTGTTCCATTAAAAAAAGTCGAAGTGGTCTACGTTTCTCCATTTTCCGATGCGATTTTGTTTTTTTTCTGATAACGTTGAAAGAAAATATAGAAAGAAACTGTCAAGTTTTGTATTTAAAAATTTTTTTCTATCTTAAACAGTAAAGGCTGTAGGTATGGGCTCAAGTGTAATCAAATACCCTGTACCTTCGAACATGCGTTTGACTACTTTTGCCTGAATTTTTTTCAATTGGTTAATGCGCAGTCACAGTACAAGTTCGTGTACCATGACTTCCAGCGAGAAAATTGAACACTAATTGCCAAAAAAAAGGTCTTACTGCGTTCACATACTTTAATTATACTGCTATTATTTTAATTATTGGGTTTTCTAAAAAACAGGCCCATTATAGATAATGAATCTATAATTTTAATAAATATTTTGCAATATATTAATTTTTAGTGTCACTAATAGTAACTGTAGAGCGTATTCTTATAACGCGCTGTTAATAATATTCCACAAATATATGATAGATTAGTTTTTTTTTACATTCATAAAAAAAAAAAAATATATTTTCTTTATTTACATATGTAGTTACCTATAGTTATAAATACTTTTGTCCTATTTTGCTTCAGACATGACGGAACTCAATTTTAGTATAGACGAGGAACTTTTTTACAAGCAAGTGTATTCCGATTATGGGAAAACCAAAGAGGATACAGCAGCATATGTCGACATACTAAAGAAATGGGTTGTCACACAAAAACACTTGCCAGAAACGCCACGTATGTACCTACCTAATTTATACAAACATGCAATTTCAAATTAACTCCAAATTTCATTTATTTTACTGAAAACGGTTTTAGGGGTAGGTTTTAATATTATCAAAAGAACTATGAAATTTATTTTATCTAACTGGAAGCAATTTATTTTCAAGTTACAAGCCTTATTGAAATAGGAGTTTGGTGGAATTGATTTCGTAATAAATTAATTAATATCACATATTGTTTGTTAACTTGACCTCATATACGCACGAATTTAACTGGAAGTTAATGAGGATACGGTTCGAATAATACGATGGCACATGATGGTTGGGATTTTTTGGGCAGTGATAAAATGCAAATAAGTTTCATATATCGGTGAAAGTATACTCTGTACATTTACTAGTTTTTCTGTTGCTTTGAAATACTCTTACATTTCGTAGATACAAGGAACACCTTACATCACCTGTAATTATTTGAGCTTAGTCACCTGATGATCAATTTCCGTTTAGCGATAAGCAAATTTACAACGAACCCAAACTGGGTTGGTTTTGTGACCATATACGTTGCTCTAAGTTGACTATCTGAAATAATTTTTTTAAAAAATCCTTTTGTATTCTCTATTTTCAATGATCCAATGTCAGCACAACTTCAATGATTATTCTTGATTTCAAAAACATTTTTATATTTGGCACGAGATTTACGTACCTATTTATGCCCTACGCATTCCGCCAAACAACCGTAGGAAAGGTAAAATGCAATATCCAAAACCATAATACAGGGTGTTTGGCGGAGGGTTAGCCAAACTTGGTGGGTGTACAGATAGGCCCATTTCGAAAATATTTTATTAATACACTAGTGCCCTTAAGGTCCCCGTTTTTTGCTTTTGTATTATTCTCAAGCATTCTCAAAAATGGACCTTTCAACTTCTGTAACTTTCATCAAGATCAAGGATACCCTACAAACCAAAAACACACGAAAAAAATATTTTCATAAACATTTAAAAAAAAGTTACAGAAGTTGAAAGGTGCATTTTTGAAAATTCTGGAGAACCATATGAAAGCAATGATAAAAAAATAGGGGGGAATTAAGGCCACAAGTGTATTAATAAAATATCTTCGTAATGGGCCTATTTATACTCCCACCAAGATTGGCTAACCCTCCGCCAAACACCCTGTATATTGGTTCGTACAAAAACAACTTACGGCATTTTTTGCATGACTATCATTCAAATTTCAATAAGCACCTATACACAGTGTGATTTTTTAAGTGTGCAACATATGGGGATTTTTTTTAGTAATAGCTCAACCCAAATACAAATGCTGTTTGACTTGCAACCATTCTAAGTGCACCTAATATGATTATCAGACATGCACCAACTTTCGGCCTTGTTTGTATTTTGATTATGCTATTACTAAAAAAAAATCCCATATGTTGCACACTTAAGCAATGACACTGTATAAGAAGAAACCTCAACCGAAACCAGAGAGGAAGAAAACAACAAGAAAAGCGTAAGGAAATGTATATGTATTTGAATATACCATTTTCCATGAAAACGCTAAACAAGATTGAAATCGAAAACTCACGCCCTTAAGCAGTAATGTCCGCTTACGGCGAAACATTTCTGGCCAGAATTGGCAAATTAGGCACAACACTTAAATTAGTTTTTTTCTTTAAGAAATTGACATTCCCTAATTTTTCCTATTTTAGCTGAAAAGGCGATGATATTTGTTTTAATGGTAACGAAGTTCAGTATAGAAAAAGCAAAAAAGAATATAGACATGTACTATACAATTAGAGGACTTATACCAGAAATGTTTTCAAAACACCCTTCCTCTCCCGAAATGATCTTACAAAGTAAAATAATGTAAGCTATACAGGTTAAGTAAACGCCAAACAATTTACGATGCCCGTCATAGCCTTTGAGTATGAGTGACGTAGAACGGGGGTAGCGTTGTTAGATTGTAATGGAAGGAAATAAAACTAATGTTTCAATTTTCTCGGTTTACTAGTAACTTAAGTTGTAATAAAGAGAACTTGAACACCGCTCCGTAGAATAAACCAGACAATCAAACAAAATCTAAAATTGCGTTTTTCAAAAGATAACCACTACAAAATACTGAAAAATTGAAATCGCATGGCGCTGGCGTTGGCAACGACGCTGAATACGAGGCAATTTAACCAACCTGGCGATAACAAAATTCGATTTAAATTTAATTTTTTTAGTTTTAGTTTAACCCGGCATTACACGCGCCAAAAAACTTACGTCATTACACGCGTTCGGTCAAATCGACCGACTGTCCAAAAGTATATATGAATTATTACCTTTTTTCGCGGAAACGATCCCAAACGTATCCTGAACGCTAAGGCATGACCTACGCAGATTTACTAATCAATAGAGACATGAAACTTTCAAATATTACCTGCGTAAGTCATGCCTTACCGTTCAGGATACGTTTGAGATCGTTTCCGCGAAAAAAGTGCACAAGCACTATAATTCCTAGAATTCATAATCATTACAAAGGGAATTATATTATGCAGTACAGTTACCGTATCATCGACAGTCAAAAGTACTCCCAATATAAGAAAATACCAATTTTGAACACAAATATTTCAGATATTCAGGTTTACGCGCCTAGTCAAAAGCACCGACTATGAAAATAACGAACTATACTTCAACCAAAAACCAAAATATTTCTGGGCCAATGGGTAGTGGAAAACCTGCATCAGGCATTCCTGGATGGACAAAACTGCCACCCTTGTACCAGTGGCGTAATTACTGATTTTATCAATGGTCGGTCTTTTTGACCGACGCGCGTGTACTCCCGGGTTAAACAATAATTGTGGACTACATTTGTATGAGATACGGGAACCAATATGAGAAAATTTCATGAATTTATCCACAGGTCGATTTTTCATTATTTTTTCCTAATTTTCTATTCGTTACGTTTAGGTATGGCTTGAATATCATTTTATCGGGCGATTGATGAAAAGCATCGGAAATTGTTTGGCCTTTACTCTATTATTGTTTATAAGAGATTTAGAAAGTTGATTAATGTAGAGAGGCTGTAAAACATATGTTCAAATAAATTGGACTATGGTTTTAGAATCGCTAGTTTATGTAACTAAAGTCGATTGTTTTTTACACTATGCAATATACAGACCGGGCCAACCTACTAGACACATCGGGAGTAATAAGACCAATTAGCTTGTACCCGGTTTAGGCGAATCGAGGCGGCGCTGCCGAAGATGCTCGAACTTTGAGGGACGATCAAGGATCCACCATAACGATCCTTCAGAGAAATGGGTATAAGTAAACTGGTCCCATTGAAGCCTATGTGTCTAGTAGCCTGGTCCTGATCTGTATATAGTTGATCCAAAATCCGTTACACGTCACGATGCGTCCACGAGCAAATACATACAGGGTGTCCCAGGGAAAACAATCCACCCTGAAAATTCTCGAAAATAAATTTTCTAGCTGATCACGGCCAGAAACGTCAAATTCGATATTGAGGGGGGCATGTTATGACATATACCTGCGCTTCTCTCCCTTCATCGCCCAATTTACCCTCCAGAGCCACCCAATGATTTTTTTGAAATGGGAGTTGGTGTTGAGTGATATCTTGTTTAAAAGATAATTTTATTCTCTACATGACCCTGTTTTTGTTTGTTCATTTTTATCGATTCGTTCTTAAGAAATATGGACAAACGAGTCTGAATATTAATTTTATTAAAGAAAATAAAAATTTTAATATGCGACCAGCGGCAAATATGCGAACTGATACTTTTATCACGCTTTATTCCATTGCAACTATGTATTTCCATATCGTTTTTGCCTTCCCCCTTCGCCTCAGACCGAAACGCTCTTTTCACAGTTGCCAACCTATATTAAATGTTTAAAAAAGATTGGGAGATGTAACAGGCCATTCTACGGTACCTCTCCGGCCAATCCATCATACAGGAAATTCTTCGTTCAAAAACTGACGAATGGGGGTAGCGTAATGCGGAGGTGCCCCATCTTGCTGAAAAATCAATTCATTTGCTAGAAGGTTATCATCTTGTTCAAGTAATTCAGTTTGATGCAGGCCTACTAAATCTCCCTATCTTACGGCTTTGGATTTTTTCTTATGGGGACATCTAAAAATCAATTGTACAGGGTTATTGATAATTCGATACATTTCTTTGGAGATGTGGTAGGGGATGAGGTAAGGAGTAAATTTAACCGTAACATGGTCTATGCAAGACTCAATAGTTTTTGAGATATTTCTCTTTTTCTTGAAAACATAGACCTTATTGCCTTAAAAATTAATTAGCAAAAAATCTACCGTACATTTCTTCAACTTTTTTACTGGATTACTTACCCAACACTGCCTTATGTTTGTAATAAAAAATATCCGGAAACATTTTCCTCATGGAAAAAAAAATCAAAAAAATCTGCAACCGATAAAAAATTATACCATATTTTAAAAAAATATTTTTCAAGATATTTTATTTAAAATTTTCCTATAACGGAAATGTTTCCAGATATTTTTTATCACAAACATAAGACCATAGTGTTGGGCAAGTAATCCAGTAGAAAAGTTGAAAAAATGTATGGTAGATTTTTTGCTAATTAATTTTTAAGGTCAGGTTTTCAAGAAAAACAGAAACATTGGATTATCTCGAAAACTATTGAGTTTTGCATAAATCATGTTACGGTTAAACTTACTCATTACCTTATCCCCTATCACATTTCCGAAGGAATGTATCGAATTACCAATAACCCTGTATTTCTGTATGGAAGTCAATGGAGAACATTTTCAACATTTAATAAAATAATTGTAAACTTTTTATTTTCTTTAATTAAATTAATATCCAGACTCGTTCATCCATATTTCTGAAGAACGAATCGAGGAAAATAAAAAACAAAAATAGGGTCATGTAGAGAATTAAATTACCTTTTAATCAAGGTATCACTCAACTCCTCTTTCCATTTAAAAAACAACATGCTGTGGCTTTGGATGGTAGGGGGATGAAGGGAGAGAAACGCAGGTATATGTCATAACATGTTCCCCCAATATTAAATTTGACGTGTCCGGCCGTTTTCAGCTAAAAAATTTATTGTCAAAAAATTTCAGGCTGCTCTGTTTTCCCTTAGACACCCTGTATAAACGCAATTGGTGTCATTGATGACGTGCAAAGGGTTTAGTTTTGGATCAACTATAAGGTGTTTTTTCTTAAACACTTTACACTTTTCTTTTTGCTGAAACGCTTAAAAAAAAATGTCGAAAAGTTTGGCTTTTATGTCATATTTAAGTTGCCTTCTGTAACTCGCTACCTATGGGCGTTACTCCTTAAAAATCCTGGGTAGTAACTACAACTTAGTCCCTGTATTTTGGGTTTTTATTTTTTTAAATCGATTGATCCGTTTTCGAAATATGTGGGGCATACTTTTTGCTGTTGCTGACCTGTGAGTCCTAACTTGTTGATAATATAACTAGGCCTCGTTAAGTAGGGAATTTCCATCTGGGTTGATGATTAACAGACTCAGGAACTGCTGATTGACAGCATTATCTGACATATTCCAATAGACCTCAGTTTTTATATTTTCATTGATACACAATGGACCACTCGATTTTCTAATACAATAATTTTCTATAAACTTCTGCGGATTTTCATCCAATGATACCCAGTGCCTGTGTTCACAGAAGTAATTTTATTGCTGAAGCCGGTTTTTTTTTAAATGTTTTATTATTATTCATCAATGAGTTGTCCACAAAACTCAACTCTTTTATCAAAATCGTCATCAGAATGTTTTATTAGGATTTATGTCGAAATAGGTTCAATTTGAGCAGCTTCTTTTACGACTGATCCAATCTGAATAAATTTGGCGAAAATATTTATGAAGTGTAGATGTGACCTTATACAGATAACTTTCGTTAAAAACTTGCTGCAGTTCGTCGAGCAAATTGATTTTCGGCTCTATAAATAAACACAATTTCAAGACTTTCACCGAATCTGTTGCATGTATGTTTCTTGTTTCTAACGAGTAGATATAAGAGAGACAGGGATCCTTAGGTTTTGTTGCCAGTTCAGTCTGGAAAATTATCACATTGCCCAGCAATCAATAAAAACACTGATTATGATGGTAGTTGTCGAAAAAGGTGATAGTTTTTGAACAATAGGGTAGTGGACGATTTTTTGAAATATATTTTTTATTAATCTTCATAACAAAATAAACAGTAGTTGATGATTCTTTGATTTTAAAAAACAAAAATATACGTAAAAAAAAATTTACAAATTTGTACCTACTTATTTCAAACGCGATAATTTATTGCCCGGAAATTACATCATAGCTGTTATGTCCAATAGCGTCAAAGCATTCCGACATTGATACGAGTGGCGAGATCGCGGTCTGCGCGTCCTTATACAGGGTGGCGCAAAATCAACGTTATGATTTGAATGCTTTATAACTTTTTCATTCTTAACTGAATTTTTAATATATTTTTTTTTAACACAGTTTATGAATGGAGAAAATATTTGACTCAAATGTGAAAAATGACATCTCGCAAGTGTCTGCCATTTTCTGCTTCGCAAAGTCGTGCTCTTTCCGACACATGTTGCATAACTTTTTGCAAAATTTTGGGAGTTATGGCACGGATTTCATTACGTGGTCTTCCGGCACCACGCAGGTTCCTTACTGAAAATTTGCAACCAGACGATTTATTGTTGACACGGAGGGTCCAACACGCACATTAAAATACCGACGATATACACGCTGCGTAAGAACAATAATTGAGTTTCCATTCGTAAAGTAAAATTTCATGATTTTTGTTCGTAGTTGTATCGTGTATTGTTCCATTTTAAATTCCCCAAGTCTTCTTTACAAAATTCTAAAACGAAAGAGAAATTAAAAAACTTAATAAAAAAGTTATAAAACAATCAAATCATACCGTTCATTTTGCCACCCTGTATTTTACATGCTTTTAAAAAAAGATGCCGATAAACTCAGTGCGCACGGTTTGACAAATGGAAATCCCTCAACAAATGGGGTTATGTTGAGGGTGCGCCTAGATGTAATGATACCCGACAGACGCTGATATATCTCTCTTTTTTGCACTAATGAGTAAGTTTGTGTCGAATATCGGACGTGGGTTTGGTTTAATTCATACTCAAATACAGCAGCTATGACGTAGAATCAAGGCACGAAATATTTCCGTTTGAATAGTGCGTCCCAAAACTCTACTTTTACAACCGTTTTAAACAAAGTAAGTAATTTTATCTGAAATTTCTTTCAATACAGATATTTTTTATTTACTTCATAGATGAAGAATAGATCATCGATCTCATTGAAATTATACCTTATCCACTACCCTATTACACAAAAAAGTATTTTTAGAATATTTCGGATATAGGCGTTGAATATGGAACCTTCAAAAATAGGTATCCCGCTTCCTACTCAACATTTTCAAGGGTGTAACACGCAGGGGTCGAGAGTTACAAGAGGTAACATAAAAAAGTGTACCATTCGGTAATATTTTTGGGCAGTTTTAAAAGAAAAGCCCTGCAGATAAAAATGATACAATAATTATTTTAAGCTACGTTGTTCCGCTACCAAAGCCTACCGCAAATCTTCAAAGGATCATCTACGTTTCTATAAACCCGGACTATGCTGCTGAGAAATTCGACCATGCAACATTGGATGCGCAGTTCAACAACGTGATTGAATTGCTGATCCAGGAAGATAGATGTTATAATTTTCATGTGATATATGACGTCCTTAACGCGAAAATGGCTCACATTCCCAGGTTTAGTCCTATGCAAGTAAAGAAAATGATAATTGTTCTTGAGGTACGTATTTAATATTTAAATCGGGTATATTATAAAATTGACGAAAAGAAAATTGTCAAATGAAATCAACAATACTTTAAAAGGAAATAATTTGTACATAAAAAAACTATAGGTACTTTTAAAACTATAATATCCTCCAAATATCTAGAATGGACGAGGAAATGATCACTCACTTCCATATCCTGGTACCTACCATACCTAGTTTCTAGGATTTATTGCATGGTTTATTGCACAGCAATGAGCATGTGAAGATAAAGGAAGACAAAGAACGACGCCTGAAGAGAAAGAGAAAGCAAATGCAACAAAAACTAGTAGTGACAGAATTTAAGAACCTAGCAAACTTACTAAAACGACCGACAAATGCTAAATAGCCTGTTGACTAGACTGTGACTAGACAAAGATCAGAAATTATGCGAAGGAGTTGTGTTTGATCAAGCACAGAGCGGTACAAGCCATTTTTCTTATTGTTGTCGCATTCTTTCGGTCCTTTATGTTTCATGCTGCAGACTATACTCTTGATTTTTTTAATGCCAAAATGTTAGTTACCCATCCCTTCTCACTAGGCATTAAAAAGGCTGTTGAGCAAGATTTGGACTCTCTCCAAAATATAGAAGTTACCTTTCGATACCATAATTTGATACAAGGTTTTTTTTTCCAGAAAGTTTATTCAAACCGCGTTGCATCAATTTCTGTAGTTAATTTCCACCCTTTTCTGGAAACTGTGGCAAATAACTTATTTGTACCATTTTTAAGTTCTAAACTTAAACGCAGGGTAAGTGATTGATTTTTATTTAATTTTTTTTTTTTTAATGTATTTATTTGCTTTCAGCTAAAGTTCTATAACAACTCTGAAATACTTTTAGAGATTTTTGGCAAATCATGGATGCCAAAAGATATTGGTGGAGAAGAAAAATCGTTAGCAGAACTAACTGGTAGGTTGGCGCGTGACATTTAAGCCCATACCTACATCCTTTACTATTTGAGATAGAAAAAAAAATCAAATACAAAACTTGACAGTTTTTTTCTATATTTTCTTTTAAAGTTATTAGAAAAAACAAAATCGCATCGGAAAATGGAGAAACGTGGACAACTTCAATTTTTTCAATGGAACACCCTGTATATATGCGATAAAATGAAGTATCTTTTCTTCCTGATTTCAAATATACAGGGTGTTTGGTACATCGATAGGAAGTTTTCAATGAGTGATAGTTGGGGTCATTTGGAAGCTGTTGGACCATATTCACCCTCATGAAAAGTTTCGCCGTTTCTTGAGATATCGCCATTTTTAGATAATTTGAATTTATGTATTTCAACACATAACTTGGGTTACATATTTTTTGTATCAATTATTCGGTTTTTCTTTCCGTATTGTTTTGAGAGAGTGCATATTAGGAATATTGGAAAAAATAATTGAAAAAGGTTAAAGTGGATACTAGCAAAAAAAACAATATGTTTTAGGAACAATCCAAATATTTTCCAATAATATCTAAAATTACTGATATAAAAGTAGGAACTTCAAGGGAAATAATATTGCTGGGAGACTTTAACGGACGAACAGGAAGAAAAAACAACGACAAGGTGGTCGGAAAATTCGGAGAGAATGTAACGAATAACAATGGAGTAAGGCTCATAGAAATATGCCAACAAAATAACCTAAAAATCCTAAACGGTTACTTTCAGCATAAAGAAATACATAGGTACACATGGAAAAATGAAACTAGACAACAAAAATCTATTATTGACTACACTATCGCAAAACAGAGCTCGAACATAAAATTCAAGGATGTGAGGGCATATAGGGGAGCGACCTGTGGTAGCGATCATTACCTCCTAAAAACAAAAATCTTTATCCCGGGCAGAAACACCGCAAAAGAAAACGGAATGAAAAACCAAGAAGACAATATTGTGTCTGAGAAATACAACCTAAAATCTCTAGAAGAGCAAAGCGTAAAAGGGTTGTACATGAAGAGATTAGATCAAAAATTACAGAGTAGTATGAACTTCCAAAACCTTGAAATGCATTACCAACATATCAAAGAGAGTATTCACAGTGCAGCATTTGGAGCCCTTGGCAAATATGAAAAAAACGAAAGTAGACCCACACCTTATTGGTGGGACCAAGGAATAGAGAAAGACATAGAAGATAAAAGGAAGAAATACCAACAGTATCTAACTTCAAATGAGACACGAGACAAAGAAATATATAAAGAAGCACAAGCAAGAGTATTCGGAATAAAATAGTGAACAAAAAGAACGAGTTATGGGAAAGAAATTGTGCGCATATTAATACTTATCTGGGGGGTAAAAGAAACACAGAAAGTTGGAGATTACTCAAAAACATGAGGAAAACACAAACTAACGATATTATCAATACAATAACACCTTAGCAATGGGAAGAGTACTTTGAAGAATTATTGACAGAACAGCGGGCAGAGTTTAAAGAAGAAAAGGAACAGACACGAAACATAAAAACTACAGGATCACCAATACGAGTTATGCAAGAAGAAGTTAAAAAACACTGCGACTTCTTGAAAAATGGTAGGGCACCAGGCCCAGGAGAAATATATGGAGAACTGATAAAGTGTGGGACCAATAAACTCTACAAACATTTAACAAAACTATTTCAAACATGCATAGATAAACATAAAGTACCGGAAGAGTGGAAAATTAGCTATTTAACAAATTAATATATAAGAAAGGAGACAGAAACAAATGCGAGAACCACCGAGGAATTGCAGTAGCAAATACGCTGAGCAGAGTGTACAAAGATAGTGAAGCAGAAGAACAGGCCGGTTTTAGAGCAGGAAGATCAACTGAAGACCATTTATTCAGTTTGACCCAGGTAATGGAAAAGAAACTAGCCTATAACCAAGAACTCCATTTACTATTTGTCGATCTAAAGAAATCATACGACAATGTTCCGCTGCAAAAGCTTTGGGAAGCACTGCAAAAGACCAATATCAACTTAGAACTAATAAAAGCAGTAAAAACGCTCTATAGTGATGCAAAGTCCAAGATTAAACAGGGAAACTTAATCAGTAAAGGCTTTATAGCAACTAAAGGACTTAAACAGGGATGCTGCATATCACCAACACTTTTTAAAATATACTTAGAACAAGCGCTCAAAGGGTGGAAAAACAAATGTAGACACATGGGAATACCGCTCAATGAATACAATCTTTATACTTTAAGCTTTGCAGATGAGCAAGTATTAATTGAACAGGACTATGATGACCTAGAGTACATGACACGAAAATTGATAGAGGAGTACGAGAAATGGGGTTTGGAAGTAAATCTAACGAAAACAGAATATATGACTATAGGAGGTGAACAACGAAATCTGAAATTGAATAACGGACAAGAAATAAAACAATGTACTGAAAACAAATATTTGGGCATGAAAATCTCACATGAGGGACCCCTAGACGAAGCAATTAAAGATCGGAATATACAAGGACGCAAGGCAATATCCCTACTGAATGGTGTACTGTGGGATCAAAATATCAACATAACTAACAAAACGAGAATATACAACACCATAGTCAAAAGCATAGTCACGTATAGTTCAGAAGTCTGTCCACTAAAGATCAGAACCGCAAAAATGCTACAAGCAACTGAAATGGACTTTTGGAGGAGATCGGCAGGCAGGTCAAAAATGGAAAGGATAACAAATCTGAGAATTAGAGAGATTATGGAGGTGAAACACACAATAATAGATGATATAAAGGACAAACAGCTCATTTGGTTCGGACATGTACAAAGAATGGCAGATACAAGAATACCCAAGCAAATAATTGAGTGGAAGCCAGGGGGAAGAAGAAGATGCGGCAGACCAAGAAGAAGCTGGAGAAGCGGAGTAGACGAAGAAATGAAAGACAGAGGCTTAGAAGAGGATGCCTGGATTGACAGAGATGGTTGGAGATCAGCAATCGAAGACGTAGAACGTTATAAACCGATAATTATATATATATATATATATATATATATATATATATATATATATATATATATATATATATATATATGTTGTGTAATTGATCTGTTCCATTAGCATCGAGGACAGTGAGAACTTAATTATTAGTCATTAATACATAATAAGCTTGTTAAAAATTATTGAGAAAGGATGAAAGATTGTGTAAATGGGACAATACAACATATTAAAATATTAAATAGTTACAGAGAGAGACTTTTACAATATATCACCCTGGGTTTGAGGATCATCCATCAAATGTGTAATTTGGAATTATTATATTAAAAAATAATTTTCTTTTAAATTTAAATGTCAACCAGAACCAGCAGGATGATCCTCAAACCCAGGGTGATATATTGTAAAAGTCTCTCTCTGTAACTATTTAATATTTTAATATGTTGTATTGTCCCATTTACACAATCTTTCATCCTTTCTCAATAATTTTTAACAAGCTTATTATGTATTAATGACTAATAATTAAGTTCTCACTGTCCTCGATGCTAATGGAACAGATCAATTACACAACATTTATCTTTAATAATCTCACCAAAGATGTAAGTTACATTATATTATTGTCTTATTGTCTTTAACATGTATATTGATCCATAGTTCCCTGAAGATGATAATAAACATTATCGAAAGCTCGGATAAACTTTAAAGAGTACACTTTATATTTTTTTTGCTGCATTCCCCAAATCGATTCCCAAAATTGTCTTCGTACTTGTCAGCAACAACGTCCATTCTTCTTATATATATATATATATATATATATTATCTAGGAGAATAGCTAACTATCAGCTGATATTTTTGTGTTAAGAATGACAGAGTGAAACATAACCTCAAATCAACCTGACATATTCTCCCTCTTCTTTCTTCTTTTATGGTTTCCAGGCAGATGGAGATTGATAGACTTTGACGTTGTCATTACTTCATTTCTGTCGACTGTCAGCTTTCTCCAGCTGTTTTGTGTTTTCAATTAAACGTTTTAAGACTTATTAATTAATTTTTACTACTTTTTATTTTAATCTGTTGTAATCCCCTATTGGATAATTGTTTTTTACAAATTAATTATGTCCGTCCTTTTACCTAAATGTTGTATTCTGTTATATTGATAAGCGTTTAGTTGAAATCTAGATTGTTACATGACATCCTCAAGGTTTAAGTCTTCTGTGAAAGTGCATTATGCATTTATCTATTATATAGTGGTTATTATTGCAATAGAGCTGTCTTGAAGTTTCAAGTAAGTTTATTGGGCCTTCTGCCTCCAAGTAAAGGGTTAATCTGTCTCTTAGTAAGGAGTTTTCATTGTTATTTTTAGCGTCCTGATGAAGTCTGCAATGGTAGACGAAAGCTTGATATTTGAATAAACAGACACTTAGTAGCACATTACATCGTTTTACTTTGGCTACCTCTAGCATTTTGGGGAATCTCATCTATTAACTTATCCTTTGTTGTTACCAGTACCCCGTTACTGTCCTCCTCTCTCTTATATATATATATATATATATATATATATATATATATATATATATATATATATATATATATATATATATATATATATATGATATGATGATATATATGATATATAAATGGAAGATATTTTCTGGGGTATCAGTCTGGGTCTAAATAAAAGTCTTAAAACTTTTTAGCTACGCCGAGCTTTCGAAAATTTTTATTTTCTTCTTCAGGGCTATATAAAAAGAATAATATTTATACAAATAAATATTAAAAGGAAGGCTTACTTACTGCTATGTGTTTTAAATTGAAAAAATATCATTTACAAGAAAATTTGGCATACTTTTTAAATAAATTGTTACAATCTGACTTTTTTAGTATTACTTTCAGGTATGAGTATGATCTGAAATTTACAAATAACAATGGTTCAAGAAATGGTGGAAATGTTTTTTTAAGAAAATTTCAACATTATTCCAAAGAAAAGTTGGTTTATGTTTTGATAAA